ACCCTAAACCCTAAACCCTTCAGTCTCGTGCCTCAAAGCTTCAAGAGCTACTTCCAAGGCCAGGAGTACAGCCACGTGCCGGAGGCCCTGCAGGGTCCCTGAAGCCCGGAGCCCTGACTTACACCACACCCTAAACCCTAAATCCTAAACCCTAAACCCTAAACCCTAAACCCTAAACCTAAAAGACTTAAATAAAGTCACCAAGATCTATCACTGCCTGAGGCCATCCCTTGGCAAGTCGGGAGGGGACCTTTAGAGCCTTAGGAGTTTGGGTTTCGGGTTCGGGACTTAAATTGTAGGTGTTTTGGGTGCCTGGGGTCAGACAGAGGGATTCTTGCCTAAGTCATGACCATCTCAGCAGATCCCTGGAAGGAGAAACAGAAATTTACTGCCTTGCCAGAAAAGAGGTTTAGGGTTAGGGTTCTCAAAGTACCCTGACTTGCCTCGTCAGCGAGGCTGTGTTCTGCCTTGCTCGCTCTGCATTTTTAACGTCGGCCGCTGCTGCAGCACGGCCAGATTCTGATGTGTTTCCCTGCAGAAGGGACCTAGTAACCCTTGAGCTTAGAGGGCGTACCAGGGAAGCCAGCGACGAGGTCTATTGTTTGCAGACCTGCTATGTGGATGTAAACGAGCTGCCAGATTTCGGGGACGTCTTGATGCATGGTGAACAAAGCTTAGGGTTGTGGCAACATGTGAAATTTAAGTTGTGGTCTTCGTATCTGAGGATAGGGTCTTAAGCCAAGGTCGAAAGCGTGGCATGTAGTGTTCTGCCTTGGATGGAAGTTCTGTGCAAATGCTAGTAAAGAATTTGCCCAGGACCACACTGCTTTTTGGGCTCCGCTTTATGTCAATCTTATGTATAGTCAAAAGGCAAAGCTCGTGCAAAAGCACGGAGACATGTGCGCAAGGTCACACCAAAACAGACCCGTAAAGCTGAACCCAAAGCCAAGACCCCAACGCTTTAGACCTCAAGCTGCAAGCCTCAAAGCGCAGAAACCAAAACACCCACATGAGTCCTCAGCCTTCGGCAAGAGCCTAAGCCCTTTGGCCCTCAGACCTTTTACAAGCTTATGGTACCCCGACAGTAAAACCTCCCTTGGCGATCCGTAAGAACCGTCTTTAAGAACCCCTAAACCCTAAACCCTACACCCCAAATCCTAAACCCAAAACTGACCCAAGAACCCAAAACCCAAAACCCTAAACCCTGAACCCTAAATCCTAAATCCGCAACCCAAAACCCAAAACCCTAAACCCAACCCTAAATAAGTCCTTAGTGACGCCCAGGATCTCAGCTCGCCGATCTATGCCACGGAGGCGTTCCGGGACTCCCGCTACCCGGCTTTTGTGGAGAGAGTTGGGGCTTTGGAACCTTTGAGGTTCAGAGGTTTTGGGTCACAGGGTTTGAGATGCTGTTTCAGGGGTGTAGGATCTTTAGCAATTTAGGGTTCCGGGTTTTGGATTTGGGTTCAGAGTCAGTCTCTGGCTTTCGTGCCATGAAAGCTGTGCTTTGAAGCCTCTGTCAGAGCATGCAGTTCTGGTTTACCCGTCCAAGTTCCTCACCAGCTATGAGACTAGTCGGAAGCAGTTCGCATCTTCACCAGCGCATGAAGTCGCGGCAGTCACGGACGCGCTTCCGTCAAGAAGTGCGGGCCGGGAGGGCCGGCAGTCTGAAAGCACCACGAGCTCTAGTTGGGTGCAGCTTCGTGTGACAGATGGGAGTTTCCGAAAATAAGGGGCAACCTTCTCTTGGGGTTCTTGTAATAAGGATCCTACTACTTACTCTTAGGGTACAAAATTAGGGTCCCCTATGTTCGGAAACCCCTAAATGTGAGAGTGCCAGGCGAGTCGCAGGCCCGCGCAAATGCGGCGAAGGAGGCCCAGCTACTCTCGGAGCAATTCGAGCGAAACTCGGCGAGATGGCAGGGTTTTAGGGTTTTAGGCTTAAGGGTTTCGGGTTTTTGGGCTTAAAGCCTAAACCCTAAACCCCAAGCCCTAAGCCCTGAACGTGCGAGCTTTGGGCAGCAGCGAACTTGGTATATCAAGCAGTGGAAGCTGGCTAAACCCTAAACCCTGTCACAGCGACTTGTACTCTTTGACCAGCTGTTCCCATCGCTGCTTCGTGGGTAGCATCAGGATCGTTTTTCATTCCAGTTCACATAGGAGTATCGGATCGCAGACCCAAGCCCTAAACCGAGACCCCAAGCCCTAAACCCTGCCCCCGAACCCGAAACCCTCTGAACCTCAAGCTCTAGTTGGGGGTTTCCGAAAATAGGGGACCCTAATATACTACCTTAAATAGTAGGATCCCTATTATAAGGACACAAAATAAGGTAACCTAATTTTCAGAAACTCCCAGTTCGAGTTCTTGCAACCCTAAACCCTAAACCCTAAACCCTAAAGCCCCCTAACCCGAAACCCTCTGCACCTCAAGCTCTAGTTCGTGTCCTTTGTAAGACAGCGCAGCCTTGCCGACCGAGGATGTTCGCAGCACGGCTGCAACTGGGTAGGATCCCACGAGCAGGTGTCCTACCGGGATCCGGTTTAGGGTTTAGGGTTTAGGGTTTAGGATTTAGGGTTTAGGGTTTCGGGTTTAGGGTTTAGGGTTTAGGGGTTTGAAGGAAGCAGAGGTACAGGGAACCCAGTGAAGAATAGGCAGAGGCAACAGCGGAATCCTCATTTAGCTGAGGCCTCGTCTGTAGAAGCAGCACCGAAGTCTAGTGGGCCTGAAAGTTCGTTGTGGGTTTTATCCGGAGGGGCCTGGACTGAGGTAGGGCTCTTGCTGTCCCGCACCTAAGCCCGCAACCCAACTCAACCCCCTAAACCCCAAACCCCTAGACCCTACAAGCCCTAAACCCTCAATCCTAAACCCGAGGGTCAACTTGCCTACCCAAAACGGGTTTGGGAGACGTTGCAAGGCGGACACCAAAAAGGCCTAAAACAAAAAAACCCAGACCCCAAACCCATAAGCCCGAAACCTCAACTCCGAGCCCTCAATCCCCATCGCCAATCCTCAGGGGCTAAACCCAAAGCCCGAGTGGCAAAGGAGCCCCTAAAGGAACCTGAGAAGGAATCCTTCTAGATCCCTTAAAGGAACCTCAAACGGAGCCCATTGAGCCTAAACCCTAAAGCCTAAACCCTATATAGAACCCCAAACCCTAAACCCTAAACCCTTTGAGGGAACCCTTAAAGGAATCCCCTATAGATCCCTTAAAGGAGCCCGACACGGAACCCTTAGCTGGAGAAGTGCGAGGCCCTTGGCGCGGCTTACAGCGACAGCCGGCCTGCGGCTGCAGAAATTCGCCAAAAACGTTTGGGTGGCGAGATTCGGAGCGCATCGTTGGGGTTTAGGGTTTCGGGGCCTAGGGTTTAGGGTTTAGGATGTAGGGACCGGGCAGAATTTGTTGGTGAATACGGTTTTCGGCTTGGGTTTCAGAGTTCAGGGTGCAGGGTTTAGGGGGTGGAGTTTGGGAGGGACAGAAAAAGCAGTACAACTCCGAAGCAGCTTTGGGCCGCTACATGCACCCAAACCCAAAAGCCTAAACCCTAAACAACCTAAGCCCTAACCCTAAACCCTAAAGCCCGAAACTGAAACCCCAAAACCTGAAACCCCGAACCCTGAAGCCCGAAGCCCTAAACCCCTCTACAAGGTGGCCCTGAGCCCTGTGCTCCCAAACTTGAGGTCGTAAAATGGGGGTCGGTTTAGGGTTTAGGGTTTAGGGGTTTAGAGTTTTAGGGGTTTAGGGTTTTAGGGGTCTAGGGGTTTAGGGGTTAGGGGTTTAGGGGCTTCTTGGTGCGAGGGCTAGCGTGTGGGCCTCACTAGGACTAAGGGTTTTGAGCTTTGGGATACCTAGGGGCCTTAATAATTAGAATATGGTTTTGGGGGATCCTTATTGTCCCTATTGTATAACATACCTCAAACCCTTTTCTAATTATTTATTAAGGCCCCTATACTACATTGCAATATAGCCTTAACGAGAAACCTTGAGGAATCTTATCGCTAACTTTTCAGGCTTCTAGCCTAAACCCTAAAACCCTTAACCCTAAACCAAAACCCAAAACCCTAAACCCCTAAACTACCCTAAAACCTAGACCCTAAACCTAGACCCTAAACCCTAAAACCCTTATTGGTAAAATTATTGAGGCTTCCAGATGAGGGCTCGTGGACGCCCAAGTGGTTCAGGCTTAGGGGCTTTAGGTTTTATGGGGGCTTCTGAGGGGTTTCCCTAAACACTAAACCCTAAACCCTAAACCCTAAAACCCTAAACCGTGGCTTTTTGGGTCGATTCAATCAATGCTTCGGGTCTTTTCGGGCTCTAAGGTTTCGGGTTTAGGGCGAATAACGTTTTGTTCTGGGTTCAGGGTTTAGGGTTTTGGGGTTTTGGGTTGTACGGTTTAGGGGTTTAGGGCAAATAACCTGTATTATTCTAGAGCTGACTGATTTACTGAGAAGCTTCAGATTCAGACATGTTGAAAACCCCTCGGGGGGCACATGAAATCGTAAAGCAACGCACTCTAAACCCGAGACGCCGCGAACACTTACCCCAAAGCCCCAAAAGCCTAAACCATCGACTCCGCAACCCAAGTTACTAAACCCTGAACCCTGAAACCCCCATGCCGTGAATTCTTAGGGTTTAGGGTTTAGGGTTCTAAGCCCCGAGCATTACACCAGAGTCAACCCCCCCAGCTTGAATCCGAAAATTCCGCATCGCACGCACCTTACACCCAAAGTCAGAACAACATCTTTGATATCCCCCTAGCTGCCCACCCAAACAAGCGTGGAAGAATGATTCCTAAACCCCCACACCCCTAAACCCTTTTCCCTGAACCCTAAACCGATTCCTAAGGAAAACCCAAGAAAAAGCCCTGAGCCCAAGGAAAGAGGGGAGAGTCGGCGATGCTGACGGCAAAATCTACGACGAACCAGGTCTTCACATAGTGCTTGACACTTCCGCGGAAGTCCTGGCGAGGTTTAAGGCTAAGGGGTTTAGGGTTTAGGGTTTAGGGTTTGGGATTACGGTTTAGGGTTTAGGGTTGACTGCAAGGGTTAAGCTTTATAGTTCAGAGCTTTAGGGTAGCTTACGGTT